AGGTGCCAACAGGGTTGGTTCCTCTTGAGGGCTGTGAGGAAGAATCTCTTCCATGCTCTCTCCGAGCTTCTTGTAGCTGCGGGGTTCTTCCTTCTGTATGTGTCCATCTGTGTCTAAATTTCCCCCTTTAATAAGGATATCCCAGTCATATCAGATTAGGGCCCACTCTAATGACTTCATTGTAACTTGATCATCTTTTTCTAGAAATTTTAATGGGGACTACATTGAATCTTGAGATCACTTTGGATAGTATCGACATTTTAACAATATTAATTCTAATCCACAAACAGAACTACCTTTCCATTTATTTGTGTCTTTTTTAACTTCTTTTACCAGTGTTTCATAGTTTTATGTGTACAGATCTTTCACCTCCTTGGTTAAATATATTACTAAGTATTTTGTAATGCTATTATTGTGAATTAGGCTGTTTTCTTAATTTCATGTTGGAATAGTTTGCTGTTAGTGTATAAAAACACAACTTATTTTTGTATGATGATTTTGTAACATGAAACTTTTCTGAGTTTACCAGTTTTAATAATTTTAGGGAAAAGTCTTTAGTGTTTTCTATAAATAAGATGTCAACAGCAAGCAGAGACAATTTCAATTCCTCCTATTTTTTTTTTTTTATTGCCTAATCTTGCTAGAACTTCCAGAACTGTGTTGAACAGAATTGGTGAAATGGGGCATGTTTGTCTTGTTCTTGATCTTAGAGGAAAAGTGCTCAGCCTTTCACTATTGAGTATGATGTTAGCTGTGGGCTTTAACAGTACTGAATCTTAATGGTAAAAGTAGAATAATCCATGTAAAGGATAGAAATCTTCTGGATTGATTCTAATCTATGAAAGGTTGGTAGTCTTGGGTTTTTATATATTTATTATTGTGTTAGTTGCAGCCACAAATAATTCTTCATTATGAAAATAAAATATAGAACTAGATAGAACCCTGGATGTTTTTCAATAGATGAATAAGCAAACTAATGTATCTATAAAATGAAATAGTAGTCCACAATAATAGGGAACAAACTGTTGATTCACATAACAAAATGGATGAATCTTAAATGCATTTTACCAAGTGAAAGAAACCATTTATATATGCCATTCTGGAAAAGGCAAAACTATATGGTGGTAAGAGACAGTTGCTGGAGATTGGTGGGGGAGAGGAGTTGACTAAAAGAGCTGCACAAAGGAATTTTTGGGGTGATGAGACTGTTCTATTTGTTGTTGTTGTAGTGACTACATGGTTTTATGGATTGAGATAATATGTATTATCTCAATCCATAAAACCATATATCAAAAGAAGCACATTTTTCAAAATGTGTATTTCTAAACATCAGCCTGGATGTGGGAAATACACGATGGAATTCAGACTATAAGAAAGGAATATGTTCTCCACATAACCATCGTGGAGAGGGTGAAGAAGATAGGAGCTGACCTGATCACTTTGGAAAACAGTATTTTGACTGAATGCTTTACAACAGAAGAACTGTACATAAACACTGTACTCTAGTAGAAATTTGTTCCTCACAGAGACATGGGCTAGCAATTCTGAAGCTAGTTTATATGTTTACTATGGTTGAACAATAAATGAATATGTTGTAGATAATGAAAGCCAGGTTTCTCACTGTTGAAGAAGTACAAATAAGAAAAGGGGAAGGGTGGAATGAACCTTGTGGTGCTGGCTTGGGTTTGGAGGTATCAGTATAAGCTCATGGGGATGGATGGGTGGATACATAAACAAATAGAGATGTATATATGCATGGATATACTTATATATGCAGCCATGTGTCACTCAACAGTGATATGTCCTAAGAAATGCATCATTAGGTGATTTTATTGTTATGTAAACATCGTAGAGCGCACTTAAACAAACCTAGATGGTATAGCCTACTTATGCACCTAGGCTATAAACCCGTACAGCGTATTACTGTACTGAATACCGTAGGCAGTTGTAACACAGTGGTAAGTATTTGTGTGTCAAGACGTATTTAAACATAAAAAAGGTATAATGAAAACGTAGTATAAAAGATAAAAAATTGTACCACGTTTAGAGGACTTACCATAAATGGAGCTTGCAAAACTAGAACTTGCTCTGGGTGAGTCAGCGAGTGAGTGGTGAGTGAATGTAAAGGCCTCGGACATTACCGTACACTACTATAGATTTTATAAACACTATACACTTGGGCTACACTAAATTTATTTTTTTTCATTTTTCATCAATTGTAAATTAACCTTAGCTTGCTATAACTAATTTGTAAACTTAAAAAAAAAATTTAGCACTTTTTGACTCTTTTGTAGTAACACTTAAAACACAAACATGTTGTACAAATGTACAAAAATATTTTTCTTCATTATCTCCTTATTCTTTAAGCTCTTTTCTATTTTTAAAATTTATTTTTTCACTTTTTAAACTTTTTGGTTAAAAATGGAGACATAAACACAGAAGTTAGCCTACGGCCTACACAAGGTCACAATCATCAATATCACTGCCGTCCACCTCCACGTTTTGGCCCACTGACAGGTCTTCAGGGGTATTAACACACATGGAGCTGTCATCTCCTATGATAACAATGACTTCCTCAGGAATGACTCATGAAGGACCTGTCTAAGGCTGTTTTACAGTTAACTATAAGTAGAAAGAGTACACTCTAAAATAATGTTGAAAAAAATAGTAAATACTAGACAATAGGAATTTGTCAACTCCATCATAATCTTAGGGCCACTGTTGTGTACTCTATACTGTTGTCTTTGACCAAAACATTGCTAATATGGCACATGACTATATTTTCCTCGCTCTGTCTGTTGAGAGGACCTTGAAGTGATTAGCACACCTAGCTCTTAGATTTGTTTTCTAAATACCATTCTCCAATAAGAAGAACCAGGACTCTTTAGAGAAGTGGTTGATTTCAGGGCTGGGACAAAGAAAATTCAAGGTGAGTTTGTAGGTATCTTGTAATACCCGAAAGTAAGGAAGTACTTAAAAAGATGAGGCGTGTTCATAGGTCATAGGAGCATACCTGATTAGAACTCCCAAAGTCCAGAGCTAGGAAAATTTGTGCAACAAGTTAAATAACCATAGTAGTATTATAATCCAAAGAATGAAATAAATATCCATGTGTCCATACTTACAGAAGAATTTTAATTAATGACTATAGAATAAATGAGGGACCTATTAAATCATGACAGTAATGATTATTGCAAAATCCACTAATGAATGTTAAAGTTAGTGGGCAAAATGTAAAGGAGAATTTGCATAGTTACAAAATAACTCCCCCAAAACATTTACAAAGAGAAATAGTAGCTTTACAGTAAAGAAACCTGTCAGACGCTACCTTATCCAAGTGATCTTGGTTAGTATCCCCTGGATCTGATGCACTGAGAAAGGGGCATCATTTATGGGGTTCCTTCCTCCAAAATGCATAACCTCAACCTAATCAAGAGGAAACATCAGACAAGCCTAAATTAAGGGTATTCTGCAAGATAACTGACCAGTATTCTTCAAAGTGCCAAGGTCACAAAGGGCAAGGGAAGACTTAGGACTGTCGCAGTCTAGAAGAAACCAGGGAGACATGTCAACTAAATGCACTGTAGGATAATGGGTAGGATCCTGGAATAGGAAAAATAAAAATAAAAAAAATAAAAAAACTGGCAAAATGTGAATAAAGTCTGAAGTTTAACTCATGGTACTGCACTTATGTTAATTTTTTAGTTTTGAGAGTTCTATGTTTATATAAGATGCTAACATTAGGGGAGGCTAGGCATATGGGAACTTTGGGTACTATCTTTGCAAGTCTAAAATTCTTTCAAAAGTGAAATATTGATGTCTGAGAGTCCAGCTTTATTTTCACATATCTCCCAATTATACCAATGGAGGGAAAAAGTCTGTTTTTCTCTGATCACATTATCATCAAACACTTCTGATAATTACTAATTTTGTGATTAGTTTAAAATATATTTATTGCTTATAAAATACCAGTAGAGAAGAAAAAGTCTGGTTTTCTCTGATCACCTCATCATCAAATACTTCTGATAATTACTAATTTTGTGATTAGTTTAAAGTATATTTTGGTGGTGGTTATTTTGGTTGAAGTTTTTAGAAACATTCCATAAAGTTTAATAAACAGTGAACTCAGAAGTGATTAAGGATATTAAAACAGCTGAACTAAGAGAGATGTTGTTGTCATGGTGTCTTGCTCTCCAGTAATATAGATCCGAGCTTGTTAACATTCCTGTAGTCTTCCTTCCTCTTTATTAACTGAATATGACCATGCATTTTCTGCCTCCTTCATACGTAATGTACACTGTGATCTCAGGTTTAAATTTACATGCTTAAAGGAACAAGGATTCAGAAAAGGGGTCAGGTAATTAGGAATTTTTGTCTCTCAACAGCCTATAGGGTACCCACACTTTTATGTTGGTTGGGAAAGTAGTAGCTATGGCATCCAAAGCACTGTGTATGGCATCACCATCCTAATCTGCTGGTAGCTTTACCTAGGTTTTTGATATTAGGGATTAGCCTGATTATTTGGTAGATAGAGTTCAACATTATTTATTGTGCTTAATCTATCATTGTTTTCTGTATGCCCAGCACTATGCTAGACCCTGCAGAAAAGATAAGTCAAAATCATGATCCTTGTCAAAAAAACAAAAACAAAATTCCCACCTACTTGAAAAAAGAGAAACATGAAGACATTGTCATGGGTAGAAAGAACAGAAGTGATAGAGATTTTATATTATACCATCATTGTCTTTCCTTTTGATTACTAAATCTGTGGACTTACACATTTATTTAAGCTCACTGAGTCTATTCCTTATCTGTAATTGAGGATACTAATATCAGTCTTTCAAAAATCAATATCTGGCATCTAGAAGACATTTATTAAATGGTGGTTGTTACAAAGAGTGAGAGACCATTAGAATAAAGGTAGTTATTTACGCCAAATAACTTTTTATTGAATATTGTGGTAGATACCTGGCTCAGTCTTTGTGCTTTCTCCATTTTAGAGATGATGAAGAGAAAAAAAAGTCTCCTTCAGAAGGTACTGATGAGAAGGCTAATGGAACACATCCCAAGACCATCAGTCGAATTGGGAGTACTACCAACCCTTTTTTGGACATTCCTCATGACCCAAATGCTGCTGTGTACAAGAGTGGATTCTTGGCTCGGAAAATCCATGCGGATATGGATGGAAAGAAGAGTAAGCATCATTCGTTGTCATTTTCTATTTCATTTATTTCATCTTTAGGCTCAAGGTTGAAAGTTAATTTATCCAAAATAAAGTCAAAGATGAAGAAAAACTGTATGTTTATCTAGAGAAGTGTTTGTGAAGTCTGATAAGGCCTCTAACCCTAAATCAGAAATCCTGTGTGGTGCCTGATCATCTCTAAGTAGAGTTCCCAAGCTTCAGAAACAGAAAATTTCTTATGTTCACCTCTCAACAAATAATACTGACTTCCTATAATGGTAGGCACCAAAAATACACTAGTAGATAAGGATGGACAAGGTCCCTGTCTTCATGAAGATTTTATTTCTGGTAGTCAAGGGAAAGATTAAATTTACAACACATAGAAAAATCAATGTTTATAATGTTCTAGACACAAAGTGGGGAGTAAGGAGGGAATTAAGATTCAAAGCACATGTGGAGTGATTGGCCATTGGTGAGATAGGTCAGATGTAGGAAAGCATGGTATAATGAGCATTGAGAAATTGAAGGAGCCCCACTGGATGGCTTCTGATTTCTCTGTGAAGTGTGAGATGTGATTATTTTCTGATAGATAATGGTGTTTGAAGTTTGAGAGGAACAGAGTATGTTTATGTGGTTAGAATCATCTATGCATAGAGTGAAATAGCAATTTGATATAGTTGAACAGGGTAGCATAAGCTGACATGTATGCTCAAAATTAGCAGGATAAACCCCTATGGAGTCCCTCCCTACCTACAAAACCAGACATGGAGTGAACGGATGGATAGGACCGCTGTTTCTATCTGTGGCAAGGCACTTTTTCTTAATGTGTTAGATTCTGTTAGGCTGCAGTAAAGAGAAACACTGCAGTGGAGTGGCTTTGGCATTGACTTACAATGCTGAGTGAGTTTCTTGATGCTTCCCCGTTCTTTAGGAGTACCTCCACCATATTTCTTATGTACCTTATATCAGTGGTCCCCAACCTTTTTGGCATCAGGGACTGGTTTCATGGAAGACAATTTTTCCATGGACTGACAACTTGGGGGATAGTTTTGGGATGGTTCAAGCACATTACATTTATTGTGTACTTTATTTCTATTATTGTATTGCAATTGATAATGAAATAATTATACAACTCATCGTAATGCAGACTCTGATGCCACCACTGATCTGACAGGAGGCAGATGTGAGCGATGAGGAGCAACCATAAATACATACGAAGCTTTGCTCACTTGCCTGCTGCTCACCTCCTGCTGTGTGGTCCGGTTGCTAACAGGCCACAGACTGGTACCAACCCAGGGGTTGGGGACCGCAGCCTTATATACTAGCTTACTAGACTCTTAATTTTCTCTAACAATGTTGTATCAAGGTTCTTGTAGTTGCAAGTGGCAGCAAGTCAAACTATCTTAGAAAAAGGGCACAACTGGAGATGAAGGATTGTCGCCGGGACACATTCTCAATTCCTGTCTTTGCAGTATTTTGCATGTCAACATTATTCTCTGAAATGGCGCTCTTCACACATGGTTATTCACAGCACTGTAGATCATGTGTTTGATTTTGACACCAACGAGGATCCTCCTCTTCCCTAACTTCTAACTTAGTACATTCTAGGACAGGATTCTAAGTGATAGGACTGAGTAGATGGAATACTGTGGTTGGCAGCACCCACTTGCTGGCAATAGCAAGAGGAAAGAGACAGTAAGATACAGGTCTTACAGAAAGGGAGTTGTTCTTGGCAGTCAAAACAATAGATACCCATCTCTTTGTTTCCAGTGCTACCTTTCTCAAAACACTGAACAATGCTTTTGCCAGACACAGTACCATTTTCCTTTTACAACCACAAATATCCTTATCTCTCTGCAGCATGCTATGTCCAGCTGCAGCTTTTGTCTCCAAGGCTACGATTTTTGTTGGTTGTGTTCACTCCCCTTAGTCAGGTATGGATGGAACTTCAATCTATAGGTTAAATGAAAAATATAGAAACATAATTGTCCCTCAGTATCTGTGTGGGATTGGTTCTAGGACCTCCCACAGATACCCAAATCTAAGGATGCTCAAATCCCTGATATAAAATGATGTAGTATTTGCATATAACCTACGCACATCCTCCCATATACTTTAAAATCATCTCTTGATTAACTTACAGTACCTACTACTATGTAAATGCTATGTAATACTTGTTACATTGTATTGTTTAGGGAATAATGACAGGGGAAAAAGTCTGTACATATTCAGTATAATTATTTTTCACATATTTTTGATCTGTGGTTGGTTGAATCATGGATGCAGAAACCCACAGATATGGAGAGCCAACTGCATCTGATATATTTCATGTAAAGTACTAGAAGTGAAAAACAGAACTGCTTTTTAAAATGCCAGTTCAAGAAAAGGCAAAAAAGAAAGTAAAACAGCTTTCAGTGATTCAGAGTATGCACTGCATCCTGCTAGACAAGGATAACAAAGTTAAACCATGAGCATCTTTTCATTGATTCACTTCCTAACAATGGATTGACTGAATTCGTCTACTTATTCCAAAGTGTACCTAGGTCCTACCTACTGATAAAATTGTCTTTGTCCATTGTTTTCCTGGGCCACCTCTGAGGATTATTGGAAAAGATTTGTCTGCTGGAAGCTCCGTTCTTTTAGCAGCCCAGTGCATATGAATATAGGTACAAAACCTGAGGATTGCTTAGCAGCTGAGATACCACAGACACCTTGTACCAAGCTAGAAGTTTCCCTGCCAATATAACTTCTTTAAAGCCTAAGTTAACTATTTGGAGAACTTCTGGTTGGTTAGGGAGATTTTAAGTGTCACCAGGCTTTTATCTTTGTAGCCCCATACATTCTGCCTATTTTCCAAAGGAACTTGCCTCTGCTTTTGTTTCCATCTCTGCTCCTGCCTCAGAACAAAGGGAAAAATATATGGATGGGTTAAGACAGTGCCAGTTGGGCCATTTCTTCCCTTATTAGGTTGGTGTCTTTCTTCCTGCCCCATGTATTAATATATTTATTTATAATTACTGTTTTAAGGTTCTTTTCTTTGAATTCTTTCCTCCCTATCTTTTCTGGAACTGTCATATTGATTAATTTTTCTGCTGACTATGTATCATACTTTCTTTTTGCTTTGCATTTCTAGTAATTTTTATTTGAATGCCAGACATTGTGAATTTTTCCTTCTTTGGGTGCTGTTTTTGTTGTGTTCTTAAAAATAAAAGTTACATTTTATTCTGGTATAGAGATAAAGCAGATAAGTAGCTGAATTCTTTAGAGGCTTGCCTTTATCCTTCATTATGGTGGATCCAGAGCAGCCTTTATTCTAGGACTTAATTCGTTTTAGTTCCACTAATAAGGCATTCTGCTCTTCTTCTGCCCAATATCCCGTGTATTACAGAGTCTACCTACTCTGGCTGATGAAAACACAAACTATTCTTAGCCCTATGTGAGCTCTTGAAATTGTTCATTCCACTACTTTTTGCTGGTTCTTTCCCATGCCTTGGGTTATTTCCTTTCATTTGTGCTAAGATTGATGCTCCAGCCACAATCAGGGGATTCCTCTGCAGATCTTCAATGTCTTTGTGCAACTTTCCTCTCTCTTTCACTCCGCTCTACAGATTCCAGTCCTTTCAGCCTCACTAAACTCCTCCTCCATCTTCTCAACGCAGCATGACTCCCAAGCTCTGTTTCTGACTTTCTTTCTTTGGGGCTGGGAAACTTTCTCCAAACAATAAGCTGGGTTTATCTCATTTGTTCCCTTCACTTCAGAATCACAGTCTACTGCTGCCTATTGTGAAATCTCTAAAAACTTTTATATATGTATTGTCCCTTTTTTTAGTTATTATAGTAGGCAGTTTCTGTAGTTGACTAAACTGCCTATTGTGAAATGTCTAAAAACTTTTATATATGTTTATGTAGGCAGTTTCTATAGTTGACTAAACTGATTAACATTCCTTTTTTGTTAAGAAATATCTTTCTAGTTGCCTCAGACTTCAAGACCTAGTATTTACTGAGCTATGAAAGTAGTAGAGAATTCTAATTATTTAGGTAGAAGCAAACTGTTCAGATAGGTATTTGGAGATGCAGAAAAGCTTTTATCTTCCCACCTAATCTTCTCTCCCTCTCTTCTATTTGTTAAATCTTCAATCATATCTGGTTGAAATGATTTATTTGTTAGGCTGCTGCTGCTGAGAAATGTATTGGAATCCTGAACCGTTTCTGACTATTTCTGACTTTCCTTTTTGAGAGATGGTCACTATAAGCAAATTTGCTAGATGTTTTGTAGTAAGTACTCATATCTACTGTGCCATGAAAAACATCACTTTTCATTTCTAATACATTAGAAAAAAATCAAAACAATAGTGGAGCTTTCCTGGAGTAGGAGCTCCAGATAATTTTGAAAAATCTGCGTGATGATACCTTTTGGTCATATTTCTCCTGCTAAGTTTCTAGAATTTATTTTGACTAAGCATGTTCATTATAGCTAGAACTATATTACATATGTACATATATGTAAACATGGCCAGGTACTCATGACGGATATTACTAAGCGAAAATTTGGGTCAAAGCGCTATAGAGATTATTTTCTTATAAAACACTGATTAACTTTTCTCAAAGAGGCCACTTATTTGACGCAAGATATGGTACCTCTTATTTTTTAATTCACTCAATTTGTCAGGTTGTATTGATAATTATTCATAGAAACATTTTTTTAAACCTTGGAGGTTTTCTTCATTTTTTGCCTTTTAAAGGTATGCTCAGCTCAGAAATTCTACCTCCAGGAGACGAATTATGATTAAAAGCAAATGTTTTTATCTTTCCTAGAAGTGTGTTTACCAGACCCATTAAATCTGACATTAAGGGAAAAGTTTTGAAAAGTCGAATTTGGAAAATAAAATTTATCTTCTGGATTTTGTCAAGTAGAATGAAAAACAAAATTCAGTATAAGGTCTTAGTTTTATCTGATGTAAGATACTTGAGTAAATCAAGGAAGTGACTGGAAACAATGTACTCAAAATACA